GAAAGGATGCTATTCAACTAGCAACTACATGGTAATTATTCGTTAACAAGTAATTGGACTCATTCTTTATTCAACCTGTTTATTTCACATGCATCGTTATTTTGACTGAAAGTAATGTGGGTTATTTTAGTAATACAATTATGTATTTGATTATTCTCATTTTACATGCATATCAATGATTTAGAAACAGTATTTCAACCTTCAACTCGTACTTTTATTTTGTTTTCCTTCACACAGAGACATATTAACACCGAATATCAACTATTAATAACTCCATCTTACGCATACATACACACATAATTCGTTCAGTCATTTATTTTCACATCGTGAAATTTTCACATGATCCTCATTTAAGTGATTCATGTTATTCTATTCATCCAAGTATGATTGGATTAGCACAGTATAGATTTAATCTGATTTGATTGTTAAACACTACATATTTCTTTGATCTTGATTTTGATTATTACCCTGTAGAAGTTAAGACAAGTTTGTTGGACGAAACGTTTGGATTATTTCAATTTCTAAGATTATTTTAAATATAATTTTCATATATAATGACTTGGAATGATTTTACTATCCACCAATAGTAGATCTACAATTATAACAAAATGCTCTGAGTTATATATATGATTTGCTTATCTAGTCGATAGTGAAATTTGAGTATATATGACTAGAAAATACTTCATTTTATCGTTAATTCCAGGTAACTAAACTTGATTTTTTTTGTCTGTTTATCATTTCGTTGGACAAGATATCAGGATGTAAAAAATACACAGTCTGTCATTTTTTCCAAAGTGTATACCACTTTCAACTAATTTGCAAAAAACAGACCATAATCTGAGTTAATTTTCAATATTCAAAATAAAACTCACCATTATCTCTGGTGGTCTCATATTTTTAAGATGCTTTATAATGTTATGTGAAATAATGAACTGAATGATATTTGAGGGCGTATAGTACTATACACGTTATTTATGTACTACATGTGACTGAAATGTTTCGATAGAGTATCGAGTTATTTTGGAAAATAATATCATTTGTTCATAAATAAATAACTGATCAACCGTATTTACTTTAAATCTCCGCCACTTGAAGTCTGATCTTGCTAAGGTCTGCCTTTATTTAACCACAAAATGATGAGTATTATGGTTTCCTTACAAATGTGACTGATATTTTATGATTTATTCATCGGTCACATACATTAATTTTCAAAATAAATAAGGTACAAAAGATCATGTCGAACTTATCTTAACCATAGCTTGGTAGTATTACAAAAATTATTCAAAGAACATATCTGCCAGGAAAATAAATATTTTCTTCCGTTTCGTGATTTGGTGTAAGCCCCCTCTTCAGAATGAATTAATATATTACCGAATTAAATTAATACAAGTTTAAATAGTATAAAGGAAGTAGGCAGAATATTTAGTTCACTCAAAATGAAGGGTTAAAATAGGTTTGATTGTGTTAATGTGATGTTAATTTTAAGTCGTGAGTCATAGAAGTGCATATTTGTTTGGGTATGAAATTTGTAATATGTATTAGTTGAGTTAAAGCCTGAGTGTGGATACGTGTTAATAGTGTAAGAAATGAACAAAGTTACAAGTGTTTGTTTAGATAAACAGTCATGCCTTTTCTACTGAAGGGTAGAGGGTATAACGTCTCACGTGCAATTGAGTTTAGCTCAGTCAAGGTCTTTTGTTAACCTATTTAATGGACAAAGTCATCCATGTTATAATAACTTGTATGAAATACGTATGCTTGAACAAGGCTTAGCGCCTACGCATGTATTCATTCTGCTAGCTACATTATTAGCTGCTTAGTCTATTCGATGACTCATCCATATATATATATATATATATATGCATTCACACCACTACTACTGCCATGAACGTAGTTCGCTTGCTCATCCATTTTTGCCTCTCTACTGTCTGGTCCGAATTATCTGCTAAATAAATTGTAGTAGCTGCTTCTTTTTGCCTTCTGATTTCAAACACCGTCGAAGATTATATGGTAACGGTACGAGGGTGATTAGTTATCGAAGCACAGCCACTACAAGGGATTCAGCGTTATATGAAACGCCTCGGTAATTCATCTTCTTGGATTATTTAGTTATCGACTAGGTGGTTACTGAATTTCCTATTTAATTCCTAGATTTTTCAGTTCTACAGGATTATTCGAAGAACACCTTGTGTAGTTTAAATGTTCCTTCACACGAGTAAAGATTTCACGAAAGGGCTCTCCGATGAAGAGCGCATCATAATCAACACAGCCTAATCTAAAGACGTAGTTCTGTGTAGATGCAAAAAGGATGTTTTTCTTAATTCGAAATGTTAGTTGTGTCATAGAAAGCATTATATTTTGACATTTTCAAGATCCGTTGCAATTCTTCTGTCGTACCGTAGTGATAAGAGTACAATACCAATCCAAGATACTTCATTTGAATAGTTATTTAAAAACATATCGTTTCATTTTAGTATTTGTAATAATATTCAAAAGGGAAATTATTAAGTCGCAAGATGTTTGCTATGTTTCTTTTTACATTAGCTTGTCTTTTTCTGAGGTAATGATTTTAATCGCTTTACTGAATAGATTCATGGCCAGGGAAATATTTCCACTAAATGGGTATTCAGAGTTGAAATTGATGTAGCGATCTGAATGTGTCGGTTTTATGGTACATTATTAAATTTAGACTTCCATTAGAATTTTTTGTACTAAAACAGTCTAAGAATGGTAGTTTATTATGTCCATCTTCCTTATTCGTAATTATCAAGTCAAACGTTGGTATTGATACCAACTCTTACCGTTTAGCAGTTAATCACAAACTATTGGTATCTAAGTATCTATTTTAAGATAAGAAAATGTTGTGTTATAGGTTACACTTACATCATAAGGTGAAGAGAGGTTTCGATAATTCCAACCAATACAATAGAAAAGAAATAATATTTTATAAAACTGCAATGATGAATTACCAGAACAATCAACAGAGGAAATATTTCCATCATCACTGACCAATAATAATTCATCCTGGGTAACAAATTCAAACAGATGTTATGTGTCTAGTTTCGTAACCATATATCCTTGTTTAATTCTTTAGGAATATTTTATGAAACCAATCAATCTGACATACAAAATACGATTCATTTCACAATCCTTTAGTAGTGAGTTTAATGATTCATTGTTAGTTTTACGCACATAACACAGATGTCATGGGATCTTTAATGTTATTTCTGTTGTATGACTTAGTATTAAAATATCTCATTTCACATTCACAACAATTTATTGTTCTTAATACACTAAACTTGATCATATAGTCAGTGGAAAGAAATTACTTTTTGTATTTACTAGGTGTTGATGTCTATTTTAACCGAAATTATTATAGAAATGAAGATTTGTAGCTTGGGTGGATGATGTAAGTGAAGCTGATCCGAATGACGTAGCCTTGAAGCTTTCATTGGTTTTACATACCATTCATATAAATTTAAAAAAGAGGTGAATTATGAAAACTTCTCCACAATAAACTGACAGCTTATTCTGTTAATACTAAACTTAACTGATTATTGCCGATAATTTTGCAGTCATTTTCTGAATATTTATTTTGGCTAGCTTCTCCACTGACATTCCTTATAAGTTTTTAAAAATTGAATGATAGATTGTGTCCATTTCAATAACTTTGTTGACTACTCAGTGGTCTGAATATACAGCCCCGAAAAGTTCTCTGGTTTAATGTTGCTTCTGTCCAATGTTTCGGCGTTTCTCCAACCAAATTTATGTCTAGAATTATCTGAGGGAAATTTCGGAACTACTTAATTGTAATCTCTGAGACTTTTACAAGAATAGTAAGTTACAGAGACTGACTACTAAATTTCAAATCAAAGTCTTACTTATCAAGCTTACTGAGAAACATTCTTAACTTAAATTAATAAAGGGAATCGATCGTACAAAATTCCTCGTTTTTTAGTAGTTATAGTTATTTTGCGTGAGTATCCAGTGATAAGACTTAACTATACTGACAGACTTTAGCGACCAATCGAAACTGGGCTAACCGATGGGTGAAATTAAAAACAAATACACATTTTGAAGAGCATGGTATTAATTATTCGATTCGTTTTTTGTAACAGCTGATTATTTGTATGTATATTCTTGAATGCTAAGTTCATTGATCACGATAGTTTTCTCGACTTTAACAATTCCTATTGTAATAAAACAGACCGTCAATAAGTAATCAAAATTTTATATTTGCTAAAATGTTGGCTCCTTTTTTATTATAACAAAAATATTTACACTACTTTACAATCTAGCATGTCTGTTTAAGTGAACCCTTCTATTATTATTCTTTATAGTATAATTTTCAACCAAATATCCTATACGATGTCAAGTAGAATTGATCAGTCAGTCAGTAACAATGTAGAACTTCATATGTACGTAGATCCGTTCGAGTTGCCATACCACATTAGCACAGAGATGAAGTTGTCGATTCAAATCCCGTAGTGGTAGAGGCGGTAAGAGTATAAGCAGTAATCCGAAAGATTAGGGTTTGAAGATGTTATTTAAAGAGTATAATCCAGTGAAATAAATTTGAAAAAAGAAAAAAAAGAGACAAGGAGGAACAAGGAGATTAGAATTTGGGTGAACACAAAAAGTATATGCGCCTGAGCCATTGCAAACCATTTTGAGCCATGTCATCCAAGGTCTCTAACCATCGGTTGCTATCATCTCGCGGTCCCCAACCAGGTAGTATACACCTACCAACATGACTCAGTTCACTTGTCAGTGACTTCATGGACTTATGCCATGTTTTGGTCTGGCCGCCCCTTGATTTCTTCCAACCTACTCCAATACGACTGAACATCGCACGTCTAGGCAGTCGGTGGTTGGGCATACGTAACACGTATCCCAGCCATCTCAACTGATGAAGTTTCACTACTTCATAAATTGATTTGCCATCCTTATCTGATGGCAGATTATACATTTCAGAAATAATTAATTAAACAATATACAAAGACATACGATACATAATCTATTGAATATAGTATACATCAAAAATCGATCTGGATCAAGTTTAGGAACTAATCAAATTAACTATTTAATGCTAAAATGATTACAAAGTAAAACATATGACTACTGTCATATTTTTTCTCAAAATTTTATGCACAAATATATCGTAATACAAAACTTAATGATTTATCTATTTACAGACATATATAGATAATAAAATGGAGAGAGAGATAGAAAACGTTAATATAAACGTATTTTACAATCTAATTATGATTTATCACAATAAGGTACTTGTATTCATCAATTCCTATACATCATTATGTTTTTATCAATAGTTTGATTTTGAATGTATAACATTCAAATATGGACATTTGATCCATAATAATACACTAAATATTTAATCTAAATATACATTACAAAAGTATAACTCCATCCATTAATTTATTAAAAGAAGGAAAATAAACTATCACTATTATGCATTTATTTATGAATTAATTTCAAATGCCTTTTTAAATTACATAATTGACGAAAACTAGCATTACATTGTGAACATTGATATGGTTTTTCACCGATATGTATTAATTCATGACTAGTTAAACTGAAACTTTGTGTAAAACTAGCATTACAATAACGACAAATAAAAGGTTTAATCATATTATGAATTCGTTCATGTCTAGTTAATGATGAATTTTTAGTAAATGTTTTATGACATATAGTACAATTGAATAAACGTTGAAATTTTTTATTATGATTGGATTTAACTTTTGTTAGATGATTGGTTAGATTATTATTATTATCATCATGGTTATGACTACTTATAATTGCATTATCAGTAGTAATAGTGTTTGTGGAAGAATCTATCGGTTCATTTCCTAAAGCAGTAGTCAAGTATTCATGATGATTATGTAGAGTATTATTAGAGTAAATATCTTCACATGGTACAAAATCAAACATATTTTCATCTGAATACAAAACAACCGGATTAGTGTCGTTACATATATCATTATTACTATCATGGATATTAATTGCATTGTCTAAGTTATTATTGATAGGAATAAAATGTTGATTGAGTTCAGTCATATCACAAGTTGAGGCTAAAAGATATTGACATTGCTGCCCATCTGTGATATCAATGGTGTTTGGAATATTTTGACTTATAAGAGGTTTTTCATGATTGTTATTAATATCATGGTCCGTGATTTCAAGATAAACCGTTGACATATTGACTGGTTCGGAACCAGAATTATTTGGTACATCTAAAACTTGGTTGTTAATCACCTTATCATTCGTTGTTATGTCTTCCGAGTATAATAATATATCCAAATAAAGAGTACATTTAGTACAGTGTTCAGAAACCCCATTGCCACAGATACAATCTTTAAAAGAACGATTCATTTTATGTGCTTCACTAATAGTTTCCTCTTCAGGATGATTTATGTTCATAATATTATTATCCAAAGTAGATGAAAAATTAGCAGAATTCAATTCATTGCTGCTTTGACGTCTCACTTTACAATTGAGTAAGTGACGTTTTCTATGACTAGGGTTATGAAAAACAGAATTACAATATGGACAACCGTAACCTCGAGTATCAGTATGTAATCTTACATGTAAGCGTAGACTGCTTCTAGAGGAAAATCCGAAACCGCATAAATGACAGAAAAGTGCATGTTTCATTAATGCCTTCTTTTTAGATGTCATAACTATTTTAGACATATTTAATTCGTGTACTTTAAATTTGTGTTGACGAAGTTGAGAATGTTTCATAAACCGTCGATGGCATTTATCACATTCATATGGTCGAATTCCAGAATGTACATTGAGGTGATATCGAAGGTCTGATTTTTTTGTAAAATTTTTATTACATATGTTACAAATATTTCCACTGACTGGGAAGCTAGATTGATGGTTTAGTGGATGTGAATCTATCATTACTTTTGGAAAACTAACAGTGTTTTCAACGCGTTCTCTAGCAGCCTAGTTGTAAAAGAAAATAGCACGTTATTAAGCACATAATACTTTAAATACTAAAAATTATCACAAAAATAATTACCACTAAGGTAATTTGTTTTTCATTATTATAACACAGAGTGATTTATCTAAACTAGAATATTTAATTTTATATAAAAGTCTAAAATGTTCGATTTTCTAAGACCATACGTTAATTCTACTTACCTATTTGCAACTTTCAGAGAATTATCGAAAGATATCTGAGCTACATTGACAACCTACAGACTGAATACAATACAGGTTGGGGTTTGCTCAAAATTAAAAAAAATAACAAGAGTACCCTAAATTTTCATAAATCCGTATAAACTATGAGCTTTGAAATGTGATCAAAAGCCAATCACTTTCAATAAGAATAAGGGAAGAGAATAGTTGCACTAGAAATATTTTTTGAAATGCTCACTGTTGATAACGTAAATAAAAGGAACTAAGTATAAGGAATTTGTATTCAGCAATCACAGAATGTAGAAATAACCAATACAGTTCTAAAGTGCTGATTAGGTATTTGTCATTATATTTATTCTGAAATGACAGACGAACAAGTTATATTATAATAAATTACCTCACAAGGCTGTTTGGACCTAACCTAAGTGACAGTTTTATGAAAGTACTAAGAACTACAATAGTTAAACGATGCCTATTAAATATCAGGTGGTTCGAAACATAGTTTTGGAATAAACGTCTGAAACTAATTATACTGCCACAGATCTTTTTATAGTCCTTCTAAAGTTTAGGAGTGGATGCGCGAAGGGCAAATATATGGAAAAAGTTTTTGTATCTTTGTAACCATTGTTCATTTCACGATGGTTACATAAGAAACACGTCTTAATTAAGATATTTTTCAATACAATTCCAGTGTAAAGCGCCATCACTTATAGAATGATTACATTGGGACACAATTAAACACTAGGCGATTTAATAATGAAACCTTGACGTAAATTAGCAAATGATAATATGAAACTGATATGTTCGTGGGTGACGCCAATATGTCGAAACTCCGACTTTAGTACAATGGACAGGACTACTAGCCCTTTCTTTACTGCCTCAGTAACTACAATAAAAAACCCAGATTATTCATTTTTTGAAATCAGATAATGGGTTGTTTTCAGTTCAGTCATCAAGTCATCGAAGCCCTCCTACACGGTAAAAACTTGGCGGAAATATGTACCAGTCAAAATTGCCGTGTTTTACACTAATTTGAGGCTTCAAAATATGGATGAAAAGCGACCATACCTCTTGAATTAACCCATACACCAATATTGCTATTTATTTACCATACATAGGTGATACCATGTTATGTCCCGACAACGTTACCACATATCAAGAACGGGACTTAGGTATTTCTTCACCGGGAGGAAAGGGCATGGTATTACCGTCTGGTTGATGATACAAACATGACGGATTTTATGATAGTTTAAAATTATGGAAACATCACGAAATAAGTGACCTATTTTCAAACAGAACGAATAGGTTTATTTACTTAAAAACAGGATCAGAGTGGACTAGACATAATATTTTTATATAACATGAAACAGTAGCTCTTGATTTAATGCTAAACTGAACTCACTTTAATTAAGTATTTTTCCGATAAAGACAAATGATTTGATGGTTGTAACTTTGCTATTTCGTCAACCAAATTAGAGGACAAGCTTGATATATGATGGGTATTTCTCTTTGAACTAGACGTGTTGTTTAATCTACTTGCATTTTTACCATTCAGTAGTTCATTATTAATCGTATTATTGGTACTTTCTTGTTGTTCTAATGTTGATTTAGATACACATATATCAACACCATTCAAAATATTATTTACATGAGATTTTAGACTACGAAGCATCATGAATCGCATGCCACAGTTTGAGCACATAAACGGTTCTGAGAGAGGTAGTGGATGACAATAGATAATATGGCGACTAAGAGCCGACTGCTTGGTGAATACGGACATAGGACACAAAGGACAGTTCAGTATCCCATCATATTCTGGACTATGTACACGCGAATGACTAAGAAGTAGAGTTGGATTTGTAAAACTACGTGGACAACTAGAACATGAAAATGACTTCGGAATATTATTGTGAGATATACGATTATGCTGAAGTAAACTTTCTGCATCTTCATACACCATGTTGCATAACCCACATCCATACAGCTGCTGCGTCGACAAAATTGGAAATGAATTTGATTTAATGATGTCAGAGGTTTCTCTTTCAAATGAACATGATTTGTCAACATTTAAACATATCCTTTCGGAAGGTCGAGGAGTTTTATAATCAGGATTGGTGTTACTGGTTTGATTGGAATTATTCACTACCGAAACAGCAGTATTTATGTTAGTTGTATATGTACTTGAGGCATAACAAATATTAGCTGTCAAATCTTTATCTAACGGTTCAACAGCACACATAAAAGACTGAGTGTTAAATAAAGGGTCAATGTTGAGGTTTGAAGGGAATTTCGAGGAATCTACATTACCTGGAGCCAATAAAACAGGTTCTTCGTAGGCATCAATTGAACCCTCAGCAGGTACTTCTGTTGAGCTAAATGCTTGAGATCTATCAATGACCAACAAATCAAGAGTTTGATCTACTTCATTTGGTGGAATGTTTGGGACACAGTAAGATTGGTTTTCAACAGAAGAATCGATCCAAAGACCTGTTTGGTGTTGTGAGAATTCGCTGTAAGGTTTAGCGGCTACGCTAACCATTTCTGAGTTTTTGAGGTTATTTAAGTTATCTCTGAGATTGTTTACAGTAGGAAGATCGAGAGTTTGATGTTGGGAAACTGATTGCGGTAGTGGGACAAAAATATTACTTGCATTATTTGACGGCGATTGGATTTCAACTACAACTGATAGACCATCTGATCTAAAGGTATTTGAACCTGTATTATTATATAAAGAACACTTTTCAACTGTATTCATAAAGTCACTTGCGGTAATGTTTGGATCCGAGCACGAGCCTGCATCTTTTGATTTAGATGAGCTATCTATAATCACAGTCTGGAGCACAGGATATTTAGGAATCATTACCATATCAGATGCGCAAGATTCCGACAATTTTCGTACACCGTGTTTTTGTTTTTTACTACGTTTGATAATGGAGTGGTTAAGTAGATGCTTACGACAAGAATGAAGGAACTGAAATCTCTTGTGGCATATATAACAGCTGAACAGCCGCTCACTAGAATGTATGTCCATATGACGTTTTAATGCTGACAAACTCAAAAACAAAGTTTGACATATAGGACAGATATTGTTAGTTTTAACACGACGATGACGTAGATTAACATGTCTTTTTAAACCCAGGCTGGATATAAATCTACGAGGACATTTGCTACACATAAATACAGTACACCTCCCAAGGTGGGTTTTGTAAATATGCATTTTTAAGCGATTTACAGATCGAAAAAACTTGAAGCAATGAATACACCGATGAAATCTATGTAAGAGCTTTCTTGAACAAGATTTTTTCGATTTATCACATGGTTTGGTATTCAATCTATTTTGCATATTTTTCGGCTGAATTGAGTTTTGAGAAATTGCGGTCTGTTCGCAGCTTTTACAACCAACCATAGAATGACGTAGCATGTGTACTCTCAGACTTCTAGACAGTTGAAATCTTTTATAGCACACTGGACAACTAAACATTTGGGGATAAGAATAATCCATTTCAAGATTTGAGTTAGAAACTGGGGGAATAAGATTGTGGTCAGCATGATCAGGTCTTATTCGATTCAAGTTACTTTCCGCTGCATGATACTGAGGAATAAATGACTGCAACACAACAGAATTATGTGACAGAGTTGTACAGTTTAAAGTATCATTATCATTTGGAAAAGTCAAGATTTCAATACCAGAATTCACATGAGAATCTAAACAAGGTAATCTGTTTGTAACACTATCCTGTGATTCATTATTAACAGCCAACACGGGGAGCGATGAATCTATGCCATTTTCTGTGGAATGGTAGCTTGGATGGATATTCAATGCACTAATATGAAGAAGTACATGTGTTTTTGCAGAAGATTTTTGGGTGAATCTAGCGTGACATAATACACACTCGTAAGATTTATTTTTTGTATGGATTGTCATATGACGTTTAAGTAAGGATGGTTTAACAAACTTTTTATGGCATACTGAACACAAATAGGGAGTTTTTCCCTTTTTGTGATTCGATTTTATTGCATCAGAATTGTCCTGGATAATTGGTTGTTCAGCAGGAATTTGATAAATGAGCTGATCCAGCATAGAAAGCGAGTTCTTACTTCGACGCTGGCCCCTTTTTATTATAGTTGAAAGGTGATCAGTAGCACGGAGTTTGCTACTTCGGATATTGCCTGCATTTATATCTGTCGATGGTTCTAGATTAGTTTCTGTGATTACTCTAGAATTTTCGATAGGATGTGAACGATAACAAGGGTGCCTACGGCGATAATGTTGTTTAATTTTACCAACAGAAGATAAGAGCATTCCACAAACTCGACATCGATATTGAGATGGAGGTTTATTAATGACAATGGTTTTTGTGCATGCATGTAGATGCTTTTCATACAGTGTGACTGATTCGAACGACTGTTGACAAACGGAACAAACAAAATTCTCGTCGATTTGATGTAGTAACAAGTGTGATTTGTATGCAGTAAAACGAAGGAATCGCTTGTCACATAAGCAGCAATTGTAATGGTCTTGATTTTCACATATTGTGTGATATAATGAAATATGTACATACAAATTCTCAGCTTGGTTAAATGAAGCATTACAATGAGAACAAACATACGGTTTGCCGGTATTATGGATATTCAAGTGTCTAGACATTTGATCGGGAGAATTGAAAAAGCAGTGACATATGGAGCAACACAATCCAGTATATGTAGCTGAAAGTTCATCAGATGCGTAATTCTGAGTATCATCTTGACTAGCTACTTTGGTTGGGACGAAATTGGACTGTACATCTGTGACTTCATTAAGTGTATATACACAGTTTGGAGTAGGTAGAAAATCAACACAATTCGAATCAGCCATCTCCATCTTGTGAATTAAATGTTAAAAATATTTCCCAAAACGATCATAAATTCATCTGTAGAATAAATAAACAGGGAAGAATACAGTATAAATTTTGGATTCTCATACATTTTTTGTGGATGGTAAAAGTTGGTAAAATATCAATTGATGAGATGAAATAGTAATATCCCAATAGATGTACTATTCACTATTTACATGATATTAGACTAATGTGTATTATTCCAAACTATTTCACTTCACGCTAATACAGCAACAGATTAATAATAAAAATACAAGTAAATGGATTGAAATAATATTTTTTTATTGAACTAAATGTAGGAAATATAGTTCAAGTGAAAAAAAAACAAGATTCAGAAATAAGAAGTATACTCTGTTCGAGATTTAAAGGAAGGTAATTAATTTTCGCGCACAACGAAAAGATTACGTAAAGTAAGAAACAAAGATATGAATCAAATCAGAAACAAAATAATAATATTGTGAAGAAATGAAAGGAGAGGATCAAAATAACAACAAATGTATGACTATTTAAGTGTCATTCGAATAAAAACAATGGTAAATACCAATAGGATTGAGAGTGGTTTTTATTATAGGCTGTGTTAAACAACCTACCAGGTTAGAATAGTAAAGAAATATCTAGGACTTCATTTAGAGTTTTCAAAGATGATCAAATGCCGATCAAATACAACTATCCTTTGTTCTATGGAACTATACCATGAAATGATCATTTCTATGGTTTCTTCATTTATTTTCACCATGGACAAATGGCAAGAGCCTCTGATATTACATACGTAAAGCATAATCAAACCATGTAGTCGATATTTTGAGAAGACAACAGATATAGTCAGTCAGACGCACTATAGAACCTGGCACGTGTGTATATCAGTTTAAGTTATGATACCCCATTTCTGGGAAAACACGAGAGTAGTATAGGTAACAATAGTATTAGTGGTAATAGAAAAGATTTATGATGAGTTTAGAAACACAGGGTTGTGTCTTTTGGCCTTTTCACATATCACGTTATTAAATCGCCAACCAGAACACGACCTATAGTTCCAAGCACTGTGCCAAACCAATGACGTATTGACCGGTACGAGAGTCCTTATTGGACCTCCTCACCTAAACCTGCTTGTTGAGTCCAGAACATTAATATCAGCTCCTGGGCAATCCTTTCCAGCTCTTTACAGTTGTTATTCATTCTTTTCACATCTGCTTCTATTTCCCGACGTCATGTGTTCTTTGGCCTTCCTCTTTTCTGCTTCCCTTCAGGATTCTAAGTTAGGGTTTGCCTCGTGATGCAGTTTGATGATGTGCGTAATGTATGTCCTATCCATTTCCATCGTCTTTTCCTGTTTTCTGCTTCAGCTGGTTTGTTCTCTCCCACAAAAGGCTGTTGCTGATGGTATCCGGCCAATGGATGTTGAGTATCTTGCGTAGACAACCATTTATAAATACTTGTACCTTCTTGATGGTTGTTGTTATAGTTCTCCAAGTTTCAGCTCCGTACAGTAGAACTGCCTTGACGTTCATATTGAAGATTCTGACTTTGATATTGGTTGAAAGTTATCCTTGGGAACTTTTTATTGATGCAAATATGATCCATCTGGTTTTCTGTGGTGTGGTCCGATGAGATCCATGAAGCTTTGTGCATACATTTGTGTGGAAATATTGTGCCGCCTATGATCAATTTGTTGAATGCACATAGATTTGCAAATCTTTCCCCATTTTCGTTTCTCTCTCCCAGTCCATGTCGTCCCATATTATCTATTCCGACTTTGGCATTTAGATCTCCCATCAGAATGGTGAGGTCCTTTCCTGGGTACTTCTCTATGATTGATTGCAGCCGCTCGTAGAATTGATCTTTAATGTCGTCGTTGCTATCATTGGTGGGTGCATAACATTGGATACTATTCATTGTGATCCTCTCCTTCTTTGCTTTGAATGATGATTTGGTGATTCTAGATCCGTGAGATTTCCATCCTACAAATGCATTTCGTGCTACTTTGAACAGCATTAGGGCAACTCCCTGAGTGTGTGGAGCATCTTCCTCTTCGTGGTCGGAGTATACCAGCAACTCTCCCGTATTTAGCCTTTGTTGTCCAGCTTGCGTTCAATGGGTTTCCCTGATTCCCAGTACTGACAAGTTGTATTTCCTCATTTTCGTTGCCATTTGACTGGTTTTCCCGATCTCCCACATTGTCCGGACGTTTCATATACCTATAAAGATTGTTGCTCTGGTTGTTAGAAGGGGCATCGGCCTCGTGGCTTCCGAAGGAACTCGGTTTTCACCATGAAGCGTCATAATTCTTCTAAATGAAGACCTTCTAACTCCCAGGACAGAGTTGAAATGGTTTGAATTATTTTTCCTGGTAAGCGTTTTTTTAGCGAGTTAGTTTTCTACGGGATGGGGACGCTAACCCCATGCCCAACCCTCCTCCTTTACCCGGGCTTGGGGCCGGCAGTAACTCTAGAAGAGCTATACGTGGAGTTCACTCAATGACATACATTTCCATAAATCCTGTTGATTAACAGTTGGACGCTACTTTAAGTTTAAGAAATGTAACTGTAGCAGGGAATTTGTAGGTATGTGTTTCAGAACCTGGTGAAGGGCCATTATATGGTCTACAAATACACGTCTACGTCTGGAAACAGCCTGGCTTTCCCGAGTTCGCTTTTTATGACTCCCAGTTAAGCGGTGAATGGTTACTGAGGCTAAAATTCTAGGAATTATGTTAGTCAGACTAATTATTCTGTGACTGTCGTAAGAGAAGTTTCATCGTTCCTTACGGACTGGAACGATCAATGAACGAGAACGGCCATATGGGACTACCTCAAGTTGCCAGATTATAGCTTATGTCTCAGTCAATATAACAGTTAAATCTGAACCACTATTCTGAAAGATTTCGGGCTTTAATCCACCAAAGTTTGCTGCATTTCCTTGCTTAAGATTAGCTATGGCTTTACCTACTTCTCTAAGAGTATGTAAATATATGCTAACATTCCATTTAGGTTATTTGGTAAAAGTGGGCAAATAAGGGCTAGCTTGAGCGCAGTCCTTCAAAGTGTTTTGTCTCCTAAGTTGAGAGTTAATTATGATCCCATCTTTTCCAAAAATAATTACTTTAACTCTTGAAATTTTAATACCTGTTTATTTAATAAGCCCAAAAAGTTGCTTAGTTTTGCCTATAGCTGCCGCCTTTTCCGTTGCTTCTGACTTGGATGTTCACCACTCCTCACAATTAATGGGTGGACGTTTTGTCAGTCTACGTTTAAGTTGTCTTCGGAGCTTGACAGGATGTTTTAGAGTATCTATCAGTCCTGTAGACACTGCTCAAATCCACATAGTTTGCCTAAACGTTTGGTGATTGTTACTCGTCAATATTACTGTTGATTTCACGACTGTCAAGACATTATGCCACTGAGGTGAACATGACTTTGAAGATAAGCCAACTGCGTTTCTAGTCACTCCTCAAATATACTCTTGACTTTCTCTTAGCTTGGTTGAACTCGAAAGTATTTTTCCGCTGTGGCTTTTCTACATTAAAACTCAAACAAATGCATTATCGTACTAGAGAATGATCTGAATCTAGGAATGTCCCCCGAAACGAATGGCAATCTTCTATCAAGCCTCTCCAGCGATGAATAGAAGGAATATTAAGAAGTCATGAAGGGATTTGATTGCGAACAGGAGGATTTATTAAGCTGTTATGGGTATGAGAGCAGTTGTCACATCCCGGCTGCCCACACGGCAAAATGGTATTTCTTGAGGCACCTGTAAAGAAAACTGGAATAGCAGTAGTAGTAAAGACCGAGAAGCGTCACCGTGGAGTTCGAAGGAAAACTGCTTGAGGACGGCCACACATTGCCTTTCTGTGAGTTTGTATATTTTAGTTCTGTGCTTTAAAGTGAACTACGTCGGAGACAGAAATCCGTGCAGTATTAAATTTTAAAGGTTGACCTTTTCTAAGTCCTTCCATTGGGAGAAGGAAACACGGCCAAAGACACCGGTTGCCTAGGGGAAACACCTTATTTCCGCACAACAGTACAGTTAGGAGTACAACTTTGTTCTCTACCTATGAGTGTGCTGCTTTTAGTTTTACCATTCTCCAACCAACCTGCTTTTTTATTTATTTCAACACATAGATATTGGTACAAAGAGGCACCAAATACACATGCGCCACACAAATCTCATTCGATATGTGTGAAGGCTGTGATACTGCCCGGGTGCCCAAACCGAAGCATGTGGTTTTCTTAGGGGGCCACACCCCGAGCCTTCGACCTGAGGGTCTCATCCACAAGGCAGTGGAGCATCGTAAGGATATGCAGTCCCATGGAAGCCGGTGACCAACAATTGGTTCATACACCATTTGTTCCCACAGGATACTGGAGCCCGTGTGCACTATTGATTTGGTTTGGGATCCGGTTAAAGCGCCGGACATTCGCTTTTCGTCCTCCCATTTTCGTAAACAACAGTAGTGCCACGAGAAGGCAGTGAGTAGGACTTCCCTGGAAGAGGCTATATACGCGTGGCCATGTGAGAGCATTTCGACAGGGAGAGCGGGCTCTCCCCACTCTCGGCCGTACCAGGGCATTTGGGGGCCCATGCTTAGCATGGTAGGACCTATCCAACATAATTTGACATGGTCGTCACGATAGGTAAGCCACCACTTCGCGGTAGCAGCTACGGTTAGATTATTATACATAACATTGTAATGGCCATTATGGACAACCATATATCTGACCTCAGTATTACTGAGACAGTACTGTCGAATACGAGTAGTTAGATGAAATGCCTGAGTACTTTTTTCTTACCTTCCTTTTTCCTTTAGATCTGGGGTTTCATTTTGTCCTATACTTATAGTTATTTGATTTATTCCTTTAGGACTACATTCTGCAATCATCGATACTACCACTCTTTTGGTAAAATTTCGCTTGCTGAGGGGAAATCAAGTATGGTAACTTGTGATGACGCATATTTATGTCACGTACCGCGTTGTTGATGAGATACATTTTCGCTGTTCGAATCTAAAGTGTTCATTGTGTGCTGAACCTACATCACATATACTCTATTCTTCCAAGTTTTTGTATAGTCAATCGTAATCAACGTAGACTGGCATAAATGTTGAGTAGCCCAAGTTATTTATTTGGACACAAACATTGATACAAGGGGGCACCAAATACATATGTACCACACAATAACAATGAGGTTGTGAAGAGATAGAAAATGTTAAGTGCGTATAATAAAAAGAAGAACAGCAGCGAACGGAGATTAGTGTATGAGAGTGAAATAATAATAATGGGAGAAACAGTTCAGTCAGTAAAAATACAGTCAGGAGGAATCTTTTTAGTCAAAGAAGTTACGTTTACTTTTATGAAGAAAATAAAATAGTGACAGCAGGATCGCCACTGGATTCTATTCAGAGCCATGTCTGATAATGTCTCTAGGACCCCAACCAGGGATTCGTGAAGGACCAACAGAAGCCAGTTCTATACAGCTTTCATACCACAACATTTCATACACTGACCACCTTTCTGCAAATAATGCACGACGTGGAATTCTCTGGGACGACACTCGTAGAACGCGTCCAATCCACCGAAGTCGATGTTTCAAGATAGTGACTCTAATCGAATTATAGTCGTTGTACACGAACACACGATGCCGAACCTCTGCATTACTAACACAGTGTTGTCACTGGATATCAGCAATCACTTGGAAACAGTGGTGTTCAAACACAGGGAGTCATCTAAAATCCTCAACTCGAAGAGGCCAGGTTTCACAAGCATACAGCGAAACTGCTCTCACTGACGACTTGTAGATCTAACCTTTTAAAACCAGACTAACATCACGAAGGCGCCAAACATTACCCAGATTGGCATAAGCCTCTCTGGCTTTCACTATATGTGAATGGATCTCATCACACACGCCTCCATCAGCTATTACGCAGTGACCTAGATAAACAAACTTCTTGACTACTTCTATCTGTTCGCTACCTAGGGTGAGTGCACGATCAGGGTCCTGTTAGTCTTGTAAAAGTACTTTGCACTTGGAAGGTGCAAAGCACGAACCGCATCTACGGACACTGACTGCCAATTGATTAAGTGGGGATTACATAGCTTGGGTATTATCACACAGTAAGACAATATCATCCGCATACTCAAAGTCGAGAAGTCTTTTTCCGGGCAACAGATCCACACCGCCATTACCTACATCCATCAGAGCTGTTTCCAGAATGTCATCGATGGCAAAGCTGAAGAGGAATAGTGAGATTAAGCGACCCTACCTAACCCCACTACCTGAATGGAATAATGGAGAGAATTGGTTGTATGAGCTCACTCTGCCTGAGGTGTTAGTATATAGTGCTTTCAAGATGTTAATAAACTCAGATGCTCTTCTTCAGCAGACAGTCCCAGAGAACAGTTTTGTCCAACGAATCGAAGACGGCCCTAATGTCATGAAACACTACGATTTTCGGCCTGAGATAATTATGACGGTGTTCTAACATTTAGCGGAGGGTGAAGATATGATAAATACATGCTCGACCAGAACGAAAACCAGCTTTATCCTCTCGAGTCAATCTTCCTCGGGTTCAGAACAATCTACGAAGTATGACAGAAGCCAATAGTTTGAACGCAATCGAAATTAGACTTATTCTCCGATAGTTGTTGCAGAAACGACGTGAACCTTTTTTAAAGATAGGAACAACTATCGACTTATTCCATGATGTTGGAACATCATCTAATTGCCAAGCATTTGTAAATAACTCAGTCAGTTTCATAAACAGAAAGTTGCTACCATCTTTGAAAAGGGCTGAAGGTAGGTTATCTGGTCATCATTGGTGGCGCTTCAAGGGTTAGAGTTAGTTGCGGACTTCTAACTAGTAAGGTGGATCAGTCGTCGCAGGCCATGGAGGACAGAACAGTCTGATCAATGTTGCCAGAATAGCAGGTCAGTTGAGTATTTAAAGAATGCTAATTAGGGTGCTATAAATATTCCAAGATTTATACACTGACCTAAGGTTTTTGTTGCCAGTAACTCAGATAAAAAAGGGAACCTCTAGCAGTAATCACAGACAGGTACTTTTTCGCTAACCTGCAGAGCAATTTTACCATCAGATTTTATGCCCCCTATATGGGCTTTGTGAAGTGATTCGAGTAAAGAGCTTGTGGACATTAATGGAATGGATAGTTTGGGGTCGGCGAGGCTATAATTCATGGACGACCTTCGAACAAATCTGGAGCGACCTTGAAAATTTTTAGCCAATCAGCAAACAGTCAGTATAGAGTAAAATTATATTATACAAAACCAAAGAATTAAAGTGTATACACTTCTTTTACATGGTTCAAAAATTTGTCAAGGTTAGAAAGAGCTTCAGAGGTTCTAAAAGCATAATGCATACGGTAGAGGAAATCATTTATATCACTCCATAATGGTAGGCCTCTGGGGCCGTGATAAGGTCGCAAAAACTCTTCCAGCCTCGACCACATAGCTTCAATATTGTTTGTATGCACTCCAGTTATTGGGTCCACAAAATGCTGCTTGTGAATAACGACACGATGCACATAACCAAGTCTATGTAGACATCTGTACGCTCTCCAATCATCCATATATATTGTAGCACCTGGCTGCAGCAAGTTACTGGTGCTTTTAGTATCCACTTCGCAACAACTGTCATAATTTGCCTTAGTCTCAATTTGGATCGAGCGAAAAATCCTATTCTAGCAGACGTTTTCTTCCAATACATATTACATTGGAAGACAACATTATTCGACATTTACTAAGACAAAAGAAGAAATGTTGGAATGTTGCTATCAGCCTTGGCACATCAGGTACGATCAGGTCGGTAAGAAACACGTGTATAATTAAAATTTGGGAAGCTCAAAGAAAATATGAAATGCATTTGGCACAATTGAAACTCAAGCAACCTAAGAGAATATTCTCGTACATAAATTACAAAACAAGGATGCATCATTGGATTCCCGACCTAATTAAAGAAGGGAGTGAATCTGAAAAGAGAGAGGAAGATCAGGAAAAGCAGAGGTTTTGTCTAACTATTTTTCGATAGTTTTCACTCAGTAACCTCTTCCAGACGAAGAAATAGACCTAAATACAGAGTCAACAAACCGCCCGCTCACCGTGGACTTTCATCAAGACGATGTACTTAGGGCTTTCAGCACCTTAGACATGGAGAAGTCAACAGGACCGGGTAAACTACACAACAAAATCTTGAGACATATCGCACAATACATCGCAACCCCACTCACCGTGATTTTCAATATGTCACTTGACCGAGGTGTGTTACCTATGCACCGGAAGGATGCGATCGTCACTCCCATACATAAAACAGGACCAAGACAACTTCTATCGAATTACACACCTGTCAGCCTCACCAATGTTGTGATTGAAATACTGGAAAGAACAATCAAACAGACCATAATAACATTTGTTAAACAATGAACAATATGGTTTCAGAAAAGATTTATCTTACACAACAAAACTCCTTATAGCAAGGGGATATTGGATAAAGGCGCTAGACAACGGAAACTCAGTGGATTTTGCCTACACAGACCTGAGTAAGGCATTTGACAAGGTGCCAACAAATAGAATGCTATTGAGGCTAGAAAGTCTTAGCACCTCTCCTAAAATGGTTTAAGGATTTCCTAGTAGGTTGTACCCGTGATCTGGTCTCACAAGGATTTTGAGGTGACGGTGTGTTATGGTTTTAAGACCACGGCCCATTGTCGGAAGGTTGCAGCTAAGGGGTTTATAACGCTATGGGCTTTAAGACGGACATTCGTCAAGTTAAATACTACCATGTTCATTACAGTAAACGCAACTTTAATGAGAGAAAAGCTCGGGAACTGCGTTCAGGCTGCAAGCCCCTATTTGAAAGGTAACCGGGACATCCTAGAAAAAGTACGGAGGGTACCTAGCTATGCAATTCCAGAACTTTGGGGTCAACCATACAGAGAGCGGCTTGAAAAGCTAGACCTGTTCACTCTTTCCTATCGCAGAATGGGTGAAGATCTAATTTTGATGTATAGGATACTGAGAAATGATTTTGGACCCTACATATTGTCTCTTTTTCTTTCCATTAGGTCGGGCGAGTAGAAAAGCCTAGAACGAAAACCTGTATGCCACCGGTATTAAAATACCGGTGGCATACAGGTTTTCACATCGATTCATCAGCTCTTGGAACCTGTTATCCGAAGCAGTAGTTTCCACACCCTCAATTGACTTATTTAAGAGGAGACTGAACACTAACAGAAGCATACTAGAAAAAGGAATAACGTAGGCTGTTGTAGTCCCATTTATCATAGCCACCTAATTATCACGTTTTGTTTGAAATCCATTATGAACCGATAATACGCGAGTAGCCTCAGACGTAAGTTAATCAACAATACTCCTATGTACATCGGACATGTGAATCATATGATAGAATCGAGGCCAGTATTCCGATTGTTACTGGTTGTGTGATACTCTCATTTATTTATTTACTTCAACACATAAATATTGGTACAAAAGGGCACCAAATATATATGCGCCATACCATATTTGTGCGTGTGGGCTGTGATACTTCCCGGGGGCCCAGACCGAAGCAGGTGGTTATCTTAGGGATACTGCAGCTTAAGTGCACCACTGATTTGGTTTGGGATCCAGTTAAAGCGCCGGACATTCGCTTTTCGTCCTCTCATTTTCGTAAACAACACCCCTGCCACGAGAAGGCAGTGAGTAGAACTTCCATGGCAGAGGCTGTATACGCGTGGCCGTGTGAGAGCATTTCGAGAGAGAGGGCGGGCCCACTCCACTCTCGGTCATACCAGGGCATGAGGAAATTTCTACCTTGTAATAGCTAACCTGCATGTTAAGCTATACGTATTACATCACCTAATTAATCGGCTTGTTCACGCTTGAAGACTAGGGATTTACTAAAAAAAGGGAAAACGACCAAACTTATTTTTTCGGGACCGACCTTGACATTTGAAGATTGCGATAACCTTCATCAAAACCTTCAGTCTTCTGTAATAAGGATAGGAGGTCTGTCGACATATATTATTCATTGAAGTTTGCAATACTGTGGAGGTCTAATCTCGTTTTGAATATATTAACAAACGGTGCTGATATTACGTGTTCCGGTAGAGAATCCCAGTAATTCACTACTCGGTGCGACAAACGGAACTCCAGACGTAAACGGTTTGATCTCTGTTTTTGAACTTTCTTCGAATGTCCTCTCAAATGATCGGTTCTAGACGGAAGCAAAAGATATGACATGTTAATACCAAGGTTATCGTTCAGTATACGATAGGCCAATATTAGATCACCCCGTATTCTGCGGTAAGATAACGGAAATAAGTTAAGGTGTCTCAGTCTGTCTTCATAAGATAGGCCAGATAGACCTTGTACCATCTTAGTAGCTCGTCGTTGGACTCTTTCTAGCATATCTGCTTCATATTTGAAACAAGGACACGCTGCTTGAACCCCGTATTCTAAATGTGGTCGCACATAAATCGGGTATAGTAATCTAAACATTTCATCATCTAAATACTGGAAAGACCTACGAATTGACCATAATACCCTATAGCCTTTTGCAACAGCAGCCTTACAGTGACTAGTCTTTTTGAGATCATTGCTTAATATGACTCCTAAATCTTTATAGTTTCTTGCTTTGGGTAGCACGAATCCACGTAGTGTATAGTCATACGATTCATCAGAGTTATTTAACTGCAGCACTACACTCTTATTAGGATTTACTTCTAGTGACCACTTATCTAACCATGCCACCAATGAGCTAAGATCGTCCTGTAATACTATCCTATCCGACATGTTATGTATGGGTCTCCAAATCCTTATGTCATCAGCGAAGAGTAGAACGGATGATTTTGCTACAGTTGACAATTCATTTGCATAAAGTAAAAAAAGAAGAAGACCTAGGATTGTACCTTGGAGAACCCCACTTTTTACAGGTACCCACGAGAAGAGAGCCCCATTAACCCTTACTTTTGTCTCCTGTCATGGAGAAAGTTACTTATCCAATCGACGACTGTATAATGGATTCCAAGGCGTTCTAGTTTGAATTTAAGACCAGAGGGGGAAACCTTATAGAAGGCCTTACTTAGATCTATGAAAATCAAATCCATAGGAACATTCCGATCTTCTGCAGCAGCCCAATCTTCTCGTGCAATGAGAAGATTTGTCAAGCAAGATAGGCCTTTCCGAAAACCATGTTGTGCCCTGGAGAAAAGATTTTTCCCTTCAACATATTTTATAACAGCTATCCGAATAATTTTCTCCATCAGTTTTATAACTGCACTAGTTAAGCTAACGGATCTATAGTTACTAACTAAATCTGTACTCTCTTCCTTATAAAGCGGACTTATTATGGCGTCTTTCCAGTCTCTAGGCAGTCTGGACTGTCTCAGAGACATGTCGAATAGTATCGCTAATGGTTCAGCAATTTCGTCTGATATGGCTTTCATAATCCTAGGATGAATATCGTCAGGACCACTGGACTTATCAAGTTTGAGATGCTGAAGTGGCTTTAAAACAGTATCTTTCTCAATGACTACAGGATCCATCAGCTAGCCATCACGGTCGCAATGAATCATTGGTCGTTTCTTATTACCGATAGAAAATACTTTACTAAAATATTCCGATAAAGCTTCAGCTTTTTTGGCATCATTCTCTGCTAAGATTAACGGATTATCTCGTATCAAAAGTGATGAAATTCCATCTCTTCTCTTAGTTCGCCTTTTTATATACGAGAATAACCGTTTCGGACTATATCTAGAATCCCTAATTAATTGTTTTTCGTATGATAGTCTAGTCTTGCTTATTAACTCTTTACAGGCATTCCTAATCTTACAATAACTGGATCTGCATAGTTCTAAGCCAGTAGAGATGAACATATTCCAGTGATTCTTCTTTTTTCTAAGGAGTTTTCTGACTGTTTTAGTTATCCATGGTGGACTATTATTCGGTCTTCGCGGTACCAGGTATGAACGGGGACGTAACTAGTCTAAATTTACCTTTAAATACTGACCATGCTTCTTCAACTGATATGTTAGTATCTACTAACCAATCTGTCTTAGAAGCGCATTCCTGAATGACTGATATGTTTGGGCGAGGTGTAACCTGATCGTATAACATGTCCCTAGTTCGAAACGCGAATGACAAAACAGCATGATCGCTGTTCACAAACGGTGGGAGAATATTTAAGTCGACAATATCCTCAGTCTCATGAGTGATTACCAAATCCAGCAGAGAAGAACCCTGGTTAACATCAAAACGTTTGGGTTGGGATACATGCTGCACTAGTGCATGCTCCATTGTTGTTATCAGGAACCTACTATCAAAGGAGTTTATAGATCCCTCTGTGGTCATATCAGTCCATCTAATATCAGGTGCGTTAAAGTCTCCTATTATCAAACATCTGGTATTTTCACTCCAAAGATGAATGTGCTCTAAAACGAAGTCATCAGCTAAGCAGATTGGGCTCCGATAGATGACACCTAGCATAAATAAACTACATCCTATAGCCAACTTACAGCTAATGACTTCACAAGTGCCACTATCATGGGATTCGCTAGTAGAGGAGCAGATATTTATGCTATTGGCTATATATAACAGGACGCCGCCTCCTTTCCTACATCTGTGTCGATCACTCCTAATGCAACGGTATCCTGACAATTCTGGAGTAATGTCTAAGTCATGGACTAACCAAATTGCTGTCACTGCTACTATGAGTGGCTTTAACCTGTCCACTTGTGCTTCCAGTTCATAGAACTTATTTCGTAGACTACGAGCGTTAGCATATAAAACTCCTAAATAGAACAGCCTATTCACATAGGCCTTAGTAGCATTCGCTTCCAAGACTTGACTGTCCGAAAACCCACTAGCCGGAGATTTTAATCGCCGTTTTGCCGACGGGTTTCAAATTCAGCTAGTGCTTTCTTTCTTTTTATTCTATCTTCGAGAAACATGTCAGGTCTAACTCGGATGTCAGAATTGTCGTGACAACGAGAGCTACGTAACAAGAGATCCCGTTGCTTCTCCGATTCTAGGATTACCTTAAGAAGTCTGCATGGAAGAAGTTCAACATTGTCCTCGGTTCTCTTGCCTATTCTTACCAACTTTTTGAACTGAACTCCTTTGGAGTTATCTGGTAAAATACTACGAATGTATTCTCCTAGCTTTTTCAAGTCATGCGCGTGTCTAATTTTCGGATCAGGTCGTTTGACTCCCGCAATTAGTCAGAAATAACGACATCTGGACATGCGTGGGAAGCTTTTGATACTTCATAAAGCGTTTGATCTAAGCTAGCTAGTGGCTGCAAGGGGTGAGTAGCACTGCGTACGCACTCGTCTGGTGTGGATGCGTGACCAATCTCCTTCAAGTCAGAACCGATTTCGAAGACTTGCAAGAGTTTTTGTTTTGGTGGTCTCATTACTTCTACAAACATTTGATTTCCTAATTGTTAGAAAACCTTTATGATAACTCACTGTAGAGCTTTCTGATTACTGAGCATTTCCAACGTTTAATCTGCCTCTGTTTCTAGATAATCGGACAAGTTTCTTGTTATAGTCGTGACCATCAGGCAGTGAAATCAGTGTCCAGCTATAATCTCATACCTGTTTAATTATTTTTATTCCTTTTGAACTGATATTCTACATTGCCTCCTTCAGTTTTTAAGAAGCTATATAAGAATCATAATTGATTATCAGCTTATACTGGTGTATGTCTCATAAAAATTTCCAGTTCGAGTCTATTCGAGAAGCGCTACAAGTTTGCTCTCCACCTGTCGCTTCAAAAGCTTGTTTCACGTGCGTTTATCTGAAGGCCTTGTGGCATCTTCATTTGGAATTCGCAGATGACCTGTCAATTACATCCCATACATATCAAGAAATACGGGTTAAGACCAAAATGTTTAGCATCAGGCCCCGGCATCACCAGGCTGTAACACATGGAAGATAACAAAGCATTTCCTATCTGAAGAGGAAATTAGTAAAAGATGTTGAAATTGGATAAGGCATACATTGTGGAAATCACTAAATTACATCACCAGGCAGGTGCTAACTTGGAATCTTGAAAAGAAACGGAAAAAGGAAGGCCAAAGCACATACTGCATCGAGAACTAGAAGCAGACATAAAAAGTATGAATGGCAACTGGAAACAACTGCGAAGGATTGCCCAGGACAGAGTTGGATGGAGACTGATGGTGAGTTGCCTATGCTGGTGTATGAGGGTAACAGGCGTAAGTGAGAAACTTGTGCCATCACCTAGTTTTGTTGGCATCGATTTAGCACTAAGCGCTAGAGCTGAGAGACTGGCTGAATCCCCATTAACAATCGATTTTTTGTTGTTAGATAATAAAGTAACATCAAAGTGCAAGGAAATATTTGCACACAGAGACGTCATTTCGTCATGTCATCGTTTAGAAGGCTAGTAAGAATTTTACTTTTTCAGGTCACACAGCGGCGACCATATAATGCAAATCGACTCAGACCAAAACATACACCGATATTCCTATCTATGTAACTCCAACAACGATCGAAGAAATTAGGGTCTCCATCAAACAAACAAAGAGTGGGAAAGCACCGGCACCAGAAAACATAACACAGTGACGAGTTTCGGAATCAACACAGGACATGTGAGCTCACAGCAGCAGCTTTGGTAGCTCACATAAATGGTCAGATACAACTTCAATCAGATAGCATACTTGCAAATGTAATGTTTTACGGATTCTGTCAATGAGTGAGTGATAACACTCAGTTCAATACATTCGGAGAAATGCGAATTTGAACAAACCATAGTCTCATTAATTTTGATCTGTAAAGATATAGTTTTTCTCAAGAAAGAGTGGCAGACTCTGAGTATAGAGGTATAAGTTTCAGTGACAGCGATGTTGAGACACGAAGTAAATAATCCTCTTTTCATGAACAGAAATAAGAAGTGTTTAGTTGTTGG